ACGGACGACGGACGACGGACGACTACGGACGAAAACGGATAGCAATAGGTCACTTGAGCTAAAGCTCAGGTGACCTAAAAATAGATATTCTCTGATTAAGGAATGATCTAAACGGCAATTACATTCCAGAATACATTACACTAACCTGGTACCTGTCACATAAACCGATCACTACATGTTCTTTACAGGCATCCTTCAATGGAATCACCGAGACAGCCCACAGTATACCCGGAGAGTACTCGGACTGATTTACAGTGGCATTGACAAAAAATAGCCAATACAGACTATGTTAAACCTAAACTAGATACTTCTGTGAAATTGTACTTGGTTTTCTTCGTGGTAATAAATTTGTCATCATAAACTATCGGTAACAAAACTAAGATGAATTATGGATTTTATTCCGTTAACCCAACCAACAGACTTGAATGATTTCCCATCCCATATAAGGATACTGATTTACTGTGTGTAATGAAAAATTACAATTTACATTTTATTGGCTCACAGATTTGAATATAAATAATGTGAGGTATTGTAATGACCTATGTCACTTAAAAAACTTTTTTTTTCTTCAAATGAACAAAACTATTTAAAGCCCCATTCATCATGACATCAAGGTAGAGAAACTGGGCCTAGGTACAAATGTATACCATTAGTTTCCTCAGTCCATTGGACAATTAGATTTCCTCAGTCCACTGGATGTGTTTGTGTGTTGTGTCTGACAGATACAGCTGTTAAGGTTGACCACACAACCAGCTACTCTGCTTGGTAATTAAATTTACAACATTTACTTCTCATACATTGGTAGAAAAAGACATGCAAATCTTATAAATTCATGTAATGAAACTGATTTGAGAGATTTAATTATCTAGTCCATTTTACCAAAAATGTATATACTCTAAGTGTATGTCATAAAAATAACCCATGACACATTCTAATTCCGTGTGATAAAATTACAATGTTTGATTCTGGGTTCATGCCACAAAATTTCCTTCTGAATGTTCTTAATCAATGCAATAAAAATATCACTAGATAGTATAATCAACTAGTTTACATCACAAAAATATTTCGTTAGTTATAAATGTATTTCTAAATGTGAAAACAACACATGATGCACACAATGCTACACAACTATCCTCTAATAAACAGCTGTTGTCAATCCAATTGCTTCAAGTTTTAAAATAATTTACATGTAAATAACTTAACTGACTTTCAAATGATGAAAACTTGGCCCACCTTAATAATGTTCACCGACTATTCTGGTTATCTTTCCCTTGCAGGTTAATGTTGTTCTATGATCTTTTGAGGCAAATGTCTAATATCCGTTTCTTCACCATTAGCAATGCAGAAAACCCTACACTACACTACTGGACACTTCAATGAAAGGTTCCGTGAGAATTGAATTCCCGTCAATATTACATGCTAAAACACCTGTCAACGTTAAATGCTAAAGCACATCAGCCTTACTGATTAGAATTAAACAGGTAGATGGTGAATCAGATTTAAATACATGTTTACCTTTATCTTAAATTCCTTTTCATGAAAGCATTGTATACATATCCCCACTAATTTATCACTTACCTCTATAAAATACACCAAACACATATTCAAACAAGGGGAGATAATTAACTGGACTAGCTTACCTGGTATTTTCATAGGACACTTAAAAAATGCACAAGCCATTCCGATTGATATGTCTCTCCTGTGCCCTACTTTGACCATCAATGCACATGTCAAGTTTGGTTGGTCTAGCACTTATACTTTCAGTGAAACTAAGTTAAACGCAAAATGTTAATGTTGACGCCACTGCCACTGGAAAAGCAACACCTAAGCCTTGCTTCTGCTACTTCGTGGCAGCGAGACAAATAAGACGAGAGAAAAATAAACAAAAATGTTGACTGTCGAATATGAATTACTGCAAGTTATCTCTCAAACAAGAGTACTGCGGGGTGGAACAATATACGCCCGTCGAATGCCATATAGTGTTATATACAAAAAATCAAATACTAAAATGAACAAAGGGCAAGAACTTTTGCAAAGATTGTCGAATCAAAATTCTTTTAAAGGAGACACAACTTCATATCATGACTATAATGTATACCAAGTTTCAAAGAGATTCGTTGCCGGACAAATAAAAGTTCAGACGGACAACCCCATACCATAATACTTCCGTCAAATTTGACGGGCGTATACAAAATCAGATAAGGATAAGACAAATACCATTTTTATATCTTCCTCTGTTAACGTAACACCATAAATTGGATTGACTGGATTAATTATAACAGCTCTATAAACCCATAGATTAATTCACGAAATGCATAAAATATTTGACATTGGTGACACATCTGTCTTTGTGAGATTACAACCCTGTAAGATATGTAATAATTTATTCCAGATTCTGTTCTGCCTTTGGCAAGATCCCTTTGATGTGTTTAGTCAGTGTTGACCCAGGAACATCATGTATTTTAGGCAGCAGTGATGCCCATGTATGGACAAAATATCAAGGTTACTAGCTCAAGTCATCAAACCAAAGGTTACATCTAAATTGTTTCTAAATATGGCAACAATTTATCAAAATATAGAAACATACAATTAATTTTAGAAAAAAAAATCAAATGCAAATTAATGAATTGAGAATGAACTCCAATACTTCATTACTTGTGACAAGTCACTAAATTAATGATGTTTTCTACCTTACTGTGATAGGTACCGAGAACCTGACCAAATATCTTTTATTAATAGACGTTTGTACACCGATGACACTAGTCAGTCAGACTATATAACACTACTGGATGTTTTAAATTGAGATACAAATTTAAGACAGGAAAACGTCATCGACAGACCAGGACTCTTATTCAGGACATCCACAGATCCTCCAGATGGATGCTCTCACCAACTGAGCTGCCTAGCTAGCCAGTCAATGGAGATAGACTCAGCCCAGTTTTGCTAAAACTTTATATAATTAGTACACACATTTGATGATGTATAAATTCAGTGTACATTCCTAAAGGTGTTAAGATCAGCAGCTGTTCTTCACTTACAGTAACATACTAAAAGTATTGTATAGCTTCTGTTGGTTTATAATCACCATCAATGTTACCAGGTGTATACTATGTTGATTAAGTATCAATTGCCCTTCACAATAACCCATCCCTGTACTAGGTAAATCCAGTAACCTTTACAATAACCAATTACTGCCCTATGTCAATCAGATAACGTTCACAAGAACCTGTCAGTGCCCTATGTCAACCAATCTTGCAATGAAAATTTCTTTTGACAAATATGAAGCAAAATTAACAAGTCATGTAAGAATAGATATGACATTGTCATTGTACAAGTCTCCAGTCTACACAGTTTCTTACTAATGTTGATATTGATGGCAGGGTTCAATTCATAGAAACCACTTCAACTTACACAAGCAAGAGTAGAACAAACTGCTTTGGATCAAGAACTGAAAGAACTTTTTAAATCATAAAACTATTTCAGCACTAAGTTCTGTCAATCTACATTTTAACTGCAAAATGTACACTACACAAAAACACAACTATGAAGTAGGTATTTCTTCATTTCCAAGGTCTACGAAATGTTTCTGAAAACTTCCTTATGTAGAGCTCTATCAGTATTTTACTTACCTTGAGTTCATCAGTCTGGTTCAAGTTGTTAGTGGGGACTTCATATATATCACGACGTCCGGAGGGTCGAGCTGAGGACTGTCCATCCACATGACCCGAGGAGGCAGACAGGCGGTCAAGACTGGACATGGACATGCGGGAACCATCTGGCTTGGGCAGGGAGAACTGGGTCGGAAAGTCCTTCATGCTTGTGGAACGTTCCCTGTGAAGACGGGCTCGCTCACTGGCACTCTTGGGCTTAGTGCTGGTGGACGCAGCAGAGGATTGAGTATCAGCGTTGCTCTTGCGGCGTATAATGGGGATATGGCTAGGGTTGACAACCACAGTAGGATGGGAGGAGGGGGAAGAGGAAGGGCTGTTGGCGGAGGCAGAGCTAGGAATATTAGCATTGGAAGATGGCGGGGAAGTGGTGTTGGCTGCCAGTGTCTGCCATGTCCGGCGGGGGACAGTGCAGTAGGGGTTGTTGTAGTTGGAGTCCGCTAACACGCGGGCTGCATTTTCCATGCCGGGATGTGAAGCTACACTTACATAGTTGAGTCTGTCACCAGAGCGACTTAGGAACTTGGAAGATGCTAGTCCCATACCAACATCCTTGGCATCCTCAGAAGAAAGATCGTGTAGACTGCTGCTCTTACGCAATCCCTCTTGGTAGTGTTTATCAGTCCGATGTTTCATGTTGCGCACACCTCGATAGGTTGAAAAGGCCTGCTCCTTTACCTTGACCTTCTCAGCCTCAAAACGATTGTTAACTGCAGGAATGTCCCCGTCTGTGAGACTACTCACACTTGGTAACTTCCTGTGTGAGTCTGTGGTCAGTGGCTACAATAACACAAACAATGATACATAAGTAAACAATTATATAATCAACCACAACACAATGTAGCTGTGTCAGTTAAACGTCATGTCACTGTCTCTAAAACATTCACAACCAATACATGTCAGATACTGATAAGACCTCAACCTATCAAAACATATTGGGTTACGGTAAAAAATAAAACAATGTTAACTCCTTGCTCTTATAATTTATTTGAAGTTGTTTACAAAAGATATCTCAAAGAAACTAATAAGTGAACGAACCATCATTACCACATAACAACTTTCAATACATTAAAGTAGCAAGAACAAAGGTGGCAAGCATGCATACCTTAGGGGAAAGAATGTCAGTAACTATTCAAAATTCATAATCAACATCAGCAAAAAATGCTAAATGTCTGTATCACAAATAAGTTACAGATTAAAAAATAATCTTTCTATATAATATCTCATAATTACTAGGCCGATTGCCAAGCTTTAAAGAATTACCTCCCTTCCAATATTTGAATTTCAAATTTTAACAGAATTATCTCCCTTGCATCACTTACCTGGACATTCTCCTTGTCCTTATTGCTAAAGATGGGCATGGTGAAGCGGCGGTTTTTGGGTTTTGGTAATGACCTTGGAAACACAGCAAGGACTTCTTGCCACCTGAAACAAATCACTCGAGTATTCAGTAATGATAATGTATCCACTTTACTGAGTGTCCCTACTATCTGAACATCTATGGTCTGGTTCCTTATAATAAGCTGGACTTCAAAAAATATTCACAGGGATTTTTTAAACTATGATGAAACAACTAAATTATCTGAATCCCCCTCTTGCCTTGATAGATATGCTGGTTGTATATGGCCAAGCCCCTGAAACCTTACCACATAATCTCCTCCTTGGATCCTCCTTTGATGTAGTATGTTTTGTTGGGGACGATGATGAAGAGAGAGTTGGTATGGCTAGTCTTTTTCTCAGCATCCCCAACCTCTGTACATTTATTCATGTCCACCGCCCCCTGTGGAACAGTGTCAGGCTGAAAATACAAATATCATATTGTCATCATATAATTTTGGTAATAAGAATATTGATTCTCTACAGTGAGGTTATTATCCCTTTACCAAGTATAACTTATTGTACAATGCATTTGTATTATGTTGATTGTACCTGTCTGCACTGTACACAACTTTAAGTGATAAACTGCAAATTGAAGATCGCAGTAACGTGAACTGGCTGTCAAAAACAATTCCATACATTAGCTTCAAGTGAAAAACATCCAACAATATTGGTAACAGTTTTTAACAAATGAAGGGAAGCAACTCCTCCAGCCAAATAGCAATACATTTAACTACACCGTCCATACCTTACCAAACAAAACAACCCCTTTCATTTGGATCTAACTGTTTATATATTTATGACACAATTCATACCTTCTATAATTCCAAATCTTCATACAAAAAATAAACCCTTCTTACTTGAATTTCAATTAAAGTATGTGTACCAAAAACCTGAATAATAGTTTTTTTTTTAAATTAAATTAAACTTTTTCTCCTAACAGTCTTCTATTCAACAGTTATGAAGCAAGGTTTTATAACTTAATCTGTGTGTTATCAATCTTAGTCTTGTTGGCTCAAAAGGAATAGAACAGTAGGTTGCTGATGTGGGAGGAAACTGGAGTACTCAGAAAAAGCAGAGTACCCCGAGAAAACCAGAGTACCCAGAGAAAACCAGAGTACCCAGAAAAACAAGAGTACCCTGAGAAAACCAGAGTACCCAGAGAAAAAGCAGAGTACCCAGAGAAAACCAGAGTACCCAGAGAAAACCAGAGTACCCAGAGAAAACCAGAGTACCCTGAGAAAACCAGAGTGCCGAGAGAAAACCAAAGTACCCAGAAAAACAAGAGTACCCTGAGAAAACAAGAGTACCCTGAGAAAACCAGAGTACCCAGAGAAAACCAGAGTACCCAGAAAAACAAGAGTACCCTGAGAAAACCAGAGTACCCAGAGAAAACCAGAGTACCCAGAGAAAACAAGAGTACCCAGAGAAAACCAGAGTACCCAGAAAAACGAGAGTACCCTGAGAAAACCGGAGTACCCCGAGAAAACCAGAGTTCCCATAAAAAGCAGAGTAACCTGAGAAAACCCACGGGGTTGTACATGTAAACCAGCCACCCAATATAAAATTAACATATATGACTAGTGTTTGATCGGAAACTATGAAGCATGTCTATGAATGAATGATTCGTGTAGACAATCATATATAGGAAGTACTGTCACTGTTAAAGCAGTGTTTAAAAGGAAACCCCACTTCCTCTCCGAGTTTCATTGATGACTACATCTTCCCAGTGTATGTAGAATGTACCTTCTATATACGATTGTCTGTCCTTAGCTGTCAACAACGATCACAATGATGGCTATGGTAGAGTATTTTTTATTCCATCAAGAAGATAACCTCCTTTAAAATCACAATTGTTTTCTAGTTAAAGAGCTTTTTAAAAAATTCTTGATTGGAAAATAGATACTTACATCTTCGTCCACTGAAAAGTTGAGCTCTCCATCATCAAACAGTCGAAAGAACCGCCTCTGCCATCGCTACAATGATGTAATAGCATTGTATAAGTATGTAGTCAAAACTAGAGGCCGATGGATAATACACTATCAGCCAGAAACAACTATGTATCATTAGGACATAAAACTATGATTAAGACAGGTATTACAGTTTTACTGTGGCATCAGACAGGTATTACAGTTTTACTGTGGCATCAGACAGGTATTACGATTGTACTTTGGCATCAGACAGGTATTACGATTGTACTTTGGCATCAGACAGGTATTACAATTGTACTGTGGCATCAGACAGGTATTACGATTGTACTGTGGCATCAGACAGGTATTACAATTGTACTGCGACATCAGACAGGTATTACAGTTTTACTTTGACATAAGACAGGTACTACAGTTTTACTTTGACATAAGACAGGTATTACAATTGCACTGTGGCATCAGACAGGTATTACAATTGTACTGCGACATCCGACAGGTATTACAGTTTTACTTTGACATAAGACAGGTATTACAGTTTTACTGTGGCATCAGACAGGTATTACTGTATTACTTTGACATAAGACAGGTATTACAGTTTTACTTAAGACAGGTATTACAGTTTTACTTTGACATCAGATNTGTGACATCAGACAGGTATTACAATTGTACTGTGACATCAGACAGGTATTACAATTGTACTGTGACATCAGACAGGTATTACAATTGTACTGTGACATCAGACAGGTATTACAATTGTACTGTGACATCAGACAGGTATTACAATTGTACTGTGACATCAGACAGGTATTACAATTGTACTGTGACATCAGACAGGTATTACAATTGTACTGTGACATCAGACAGGTATTACAATTGTACTGTGACATCAGACAGGTATTACAATTGTACTGTGACATCAGACAGGTATTACAATTGTACTGTGACATCAGACAGGTATTACAATTGTACTGTGACATCAGACAGGTATTACAATTGTACTGTGACATCAGACAGGTATTACAATTGTACTGTGACATCAGACAGGTATTACAATTGTACTGTGACATCAGACAGGTATTACAATTGTACTGTGACATCAGACAGGTATTACAATTGTACTGTGACATCAGACAGGTATTACAATTGTACTGTGACATCAGACAGGTATTACAATTGTACTGTGACATCAGACAGGTATTACAATTGTACTGTGACATCAGACAGGTATTACAATTGTACTGTGACATCAGACAGGTATTACAATTGTACTGTGACATCAGACAGGTATTACAATTGTACTGTGACATCAGACAGGTATTACAATTGTACTGTGACATCAGACAGGTATTACAATTGTACTGTGACATCAGACAGGTATTACAATTGTACTGTGACATCAGACAGGTATTACAATTGTACTGTGACATCAGACAGGTATTACAATTGTACTGTGACATCAGACAGGTATTACAATTGTACTGTGACATCAGACAGGTATTACAATTGTACTGTGACATCAGACAGGTATTACAATTGTACTGTGACATCAGACAGGTATTACAATTGTACTGTGACATCAGACAGGTATTACAATTGTACTGTGACATCAGACAGGTATTACAATTGTACTGTGACATCAGACAGGTATTACAATTGTACTGTGACATCAGACAGGTATTACAATTGTACTGTGACATCAGACAGGTATTACAATTGTACTGTGACATCAGACAGGTATTACAGTTTTACTTTTGACATCAGACAGGTATTACAATTGTACTGTGACATCAGACAGGTATAACATGCACACATCAATCAAACATCAAATCAATAGGTATCCTGTGTTATCATTGCAACATCATGGAATCATAAAATTTCAAATCACATTTTACAAATATGCATATTAAAAATCGATATAAAATTGAATAAGTTGTCATGTATTTGTGTGAGGTAGGCAGAACAGGTGTGTAGTGTAGGTGGTATGTATGTTATAAATCAGCTGGATACAGTATCCCCTGGATTGAGGTGTATACAAGAACTTGACAACCATCCTATGTGTCAGAATAGTACAAACAGATCATTGACCTGCCTGCTCCTAATCTTCTCTCTGATTATGATGAATCTGATGTCACACATGACTGTAAACAAACCAACATTCATCAGCCTGTATACACCCCTGTCCTAGCCAACATCTCTACTGTCAACACCATACTGACACACCAGGACTGACACCTCCACTGTCAACACCACACACCAGGACTAACACCTCTACTGTCAACACCACACACCAGGACTGACACCTCCACTGCTACTGTCAACATCATACTGACACACCATGCCAGGACACATCCACCACTACTGTCAACACCACACTGACACACCATACTGACACCACTACTGTCAACACCACACTGACACGACAAGACTGACACATCCACTGGTACCACTACTGTCAACACCATACTGTCACACCAGGACACCTCCACCACTACTGTCAACACCACACTGACACACATTACTGACACCACTACTGTCAACACCACACTGACACGACAAGACTGACACATCTACTGCTACTGTCAACATCATACTGACACACCAGGACACATCCACCACTACTGTCAACACCATACTGACACACCAGGACTGACACCACTACTGCCAACACCACACTGACACACATTACTGACACCACTTCTGTCAACACCACACTGACACGACAAGACTGACACATCCACTGGTACCACTACTGTCAACACCATACTGTCACACCAGGACACATCCACCACTACTGTCAAAACCACACTGACACACCAGGACTGACACCTCCACCACTACTGTCAACATCAAACTGACACACCAGGACTGACACCTCCACTGCTACTGTCAACATCACATACCGACACACCAGGACTGATACCTCCACCACTACTGTCAACACCACACTGACACACCAAGACTGACACCTCCACTGCTACTGTCAACATCAAACTGACACACCAGGACTGACACCTCCACCACTACTGTCAACATCAAACTGACACACCAGGACTGATACCTCCACCACTCCCGTCCCCATCAAACCGACCCACCAGGACTGATACCTCCACCACTCCCGTCCCCATCAAACCGACCCACCAGGACTGATACCTCCACCACTCCCGTCCCCATCAAACCGACCCACCAGGACTGATACCTCCACCACTCCCGTCCCCATCAAACCGACCCACCAGGACTGATACCTCCACCACTCCCGTCCCCATCAAACCGACCCACCAGGACTGATACCTCCACCACTCCTGTCAACATCAAACTGACACACCAGGACTGACACCTCCACCACCACTGCCAACATCACATACCGACACACCAGGACTGATACCTCCACCACTCCCGTCCCCATCAAACCGACCCACCAGGACTGATACCTCCACCACTACTGTCAACTCCCCACTGACACACCAAGACTGCCACCCCCCCTGCTACTGTCAACACTACACTGACACACCAAGACTGACACCTCCACCACGACTGTCAACACCACACTGACACACCAAGACTGACACCTCCACCACGACTGTCAACACCACACTGACACACCAAGACTGACCCCTCCACCACTACTGTCAACATCATATACCGACACACCAGGACTGACACCTCCACCACTACTGTCAACATCATATACCGACACACCAGGACTGACACCTCCGCCACTTCTGTCAACATCAAACGGACACACCAGGACTGACACCTCCACCACCACTGTCAACATCAAACTGACACACCAGGACTGACAGCTCCACCACTACTGTCAACATCACATACTGACCCACCAGGACTGACACCTCCCCCACTACTGCCAACATCACATACTGACACACCGGGACGGACACCTCCGCCACTACTGTCAACACCACACTGACACACCAAACTTAACACCAAATACCACACTATGACACATTTTTATAATCATTGGCACTATAAAGATCTACATTGCCTCCATCATATATACCAACCTTCATCTTACGTAATTCATATTATGAAAAACAACTTTCTATTTTAGATAACCTGTAATCCATATATGTGATATATATATTCAGAGTAAACTTGATATCAGACATTTTGAGAAAGGACTAGTTTCAGAGCAGCAACAATACTGCAACAAATCAAAATTAGTTTTTTACATGAAGTTAAACAGTACTGACAATTTTACCTCAGCTGGAATACATTTTCATAGTAAAACAATCTATTTATGTCTTATCTCTAATATGTGAAATGGAAAATTCATTTATTAACAACTGATGTTAACTGATAAGGGACAAAACAAAACCAGTAAAAGAATGAATCTGTTTTGTAAACCTTGTTTTTCTTGACACTGTTATCAAGCTACGTTTTTTAGGTAATTTGAAATGATCGACGATATCAAATTTACTCATATATTTTATCAAATGGCGTAGATGTGTCTGTTTTCCTATGTGTGACGTCATTTTTTCAAATCGGCCTGAGGGGCAACAATTTCGTATGGAGATATGCACGTATGATAAAACCTTAAGATTGGTTACTTAGAAATAATAAAAGCCAACTGATTATCATTATTGATTTAAATATACTTAGACAGAGCACCACAATATATCTTGTTGTTTTGGTGTAAAAATATAATTAAATATACAGTGTACATGTAAAGACATGAAGTCATTGTTGATGTACTTTCAGGGAGATGAATATCTTCATAACAAAAAGTACAAAACAATGCTATATTTTGGAAATATGAAGACAAACATCTATTTCAGTGGAAAACAGTGTATTTTAGGATGTTGAATGGCAAATACAACTTGTGATATTGAGACATATTTACAATAAAATTCTATTTAATGATTTTGTTGACAGTAGTCCTCATAAAAGTTTTCCAAATAATATAAATACCTCAAGCTCTGACACATGTGTTACAAATATAGGTATACGCTTTCTCAATTTATAAAAGAACTTTTAAACAAGAATGTTCCACCTGATAATATCCCACAATATAACATTGAATCTTTTCTCAG